CTCTCTCTCTCTCTCTCTCTCTCTCTCTGATGAATCTTGCTCATTGTATTAATCTAGTCCAAAGGAAAACTTTTTCTGTAAAGAGCCAGATAGTGTATATTTTGGAGGCATTTTTCTGTTTTTAGGGTAGCATGCAAGCAGTCTGGGTTCATTCCACTTAATGGCAGCTTCTTGTGTTTGAGAATGAATGGTCTTGTGTTTCTGCAGTCGAATGCATTGTGTTTATTTACCCGTAGATGGCGAGCATCTCAGCTCATCAAGACCATCCCTGCTTCAGACCTGCCCCAGGTCAGGGCAAAGGTTGCGGCCATGGAGATGCTGAAGGGTCAGAGGGCTGACCTTGGGCTCCAAAGAGCCTGGGAGGGCAACTATCTTGCTTCGGTAAGTGCAGGAGAACTTAAGTGGGTTCACTCATGCTCCCTTCACAAACAAAAAAAAGAGAATTTTTCTCCAAGAATTTATAAAAAAACTGATACCTTCAGAAACTAGATCCTATGAGCAACGCTAAACTAAAAGTTTTATTGCTTCCAAGTGTACAACAGCTGACGTTTTCCCCATGTTAAAAAGAGTGTTCTGCCTCCTATCTGTGTGTATTAGGTACACGCTATACCATGGCTTTGGCCATGTAAACCTTCCCTTGCATAACTCAGCAACTATTTTTAACACCTTTATATCAGTTATTCCCGAAGCTCTATTCCATCCCCTCTCAGATCCCTTATTTTAAATTTTTATAGGACTTTTGTTGTTAAAACAGCCCTTTAGTAGCTTACCACCTGGGATGGGGAGGTAAGAAGTAAGCGTGTGCAACGTCATGAGTTTAATAATAAAGCCGTGCCCTAAAAGCTCACTTTTTCATCTGAAATGCTAAGCATCATCATTCGATCACACTTCCTGTCTCTTTCAGAAGCCAGATACACCTCAGACCTCAGGCACTTTCGTCCCCGTCGCCAATGAACTGAAACGGAGGGACAAGTACATGAACGTCCTCTTCTCCTGTCACGTCCGTAAGGTAAGGCGATGCTGGGACAGACCTCCTCGGAAGGAAGGGGCTGCTTCCGATGCAGCGCCCTAAGACACGCCTTCAGTGAAACATAGCGACAGGCGCACCGCTGGCCCTGCCCTCAGGAGGCTGTGCCTGTCGGAGGGAGGCATGGATGGAAGGGCGGGGGAGACCGCAGTGTCCGAGTCAGGCTATCGGCTTCGTAGGGGAAGTGGATATTTTTAGCAACCATTCTTAAAACCGGAGAGGGGGAACCTCCTAGAGGTCAAGGATTTGTATTTTACTGAATTCCTATCTTTCAAACACATACTAGTCTGCCTGTATTTAATGGTCATTGAGTACTTTTTTATACATGTTTATTGCTGGGTTTTTTAAAAAAATTTTATTGATTTCAGAGAGGCAGGGAGAGGAAAGAGATAGAAACTTCAGTGATGACAGAATCATTGATCAGCTGCCTCCTGCACACCCCCCCACTGGGGATTGAGCCCACAACGCAGGCATGTGCCTTGACCAGGAATTGGACCCGTGACCTCCTTGTTCATAGCTCAGTGCTCAACCACTGAGCCATGCCAGGGAGAGGGAAGAAGAACATAGTTTGGAAAAGTGAGAAGGACATAGTGAGATTCAGAAGAGAGTGGGAAAGGTTATGTGCTAGGGATATATTTGCTCACCTGGAGCAAGATGTGTGTGGACTGTTATTTACCTGGAGATGAGAGCAGCTGGGCGAGTGGAACAGGTGGAAGTTGGAATGTGGAAGGCAAGGGACATAGTTGGTTTTTTAAAAACATTTGTTTAGAAAAAGAGAGAGAGGAAATTGAAATAACTATAAAAGAACATTTTGTAAAATTATGCAAATAAATTTTAAAATGTTAATTAAGTGGGTGGACTTAAGAAAAACATTGCCTAGATTAACCCCAAGAGAGATTTTGATATAAATACACCAATATTTGCAGGAGGAATTAAGAAACTATCAAAGAGTTACCTCACAACAACGGTTCAGGTTTAGGTGATTTTAGAGGTCTTTTGTTTCACATTTTCAAAAAATACATAATTACAGCCGAAACCGGTTTGGCTCAGTGGATAGAGCATCAGCCTGCGGACTGAAAGGTCCCGGGTTCGATTCCGGTCAAGGGCATGTACCTGGGTTGCGGGCACATCCCCAGTGGGGGATGTGCAGGAGGCGGCTGATCGATGTCTCTCTCTCATCGATGTTTCTGACTCTCTATCTCTCTCCCTTCCTCTCTGTAAAAAATCAATAAAATATATTTTTAAAAAAATACATAATTACAGTGTTATTCACATCAAAATAATGAAATGATATTTTTCTATGTAAATGTGGGAGACTTTAAAATGTTAATAACAACTAGCGTTTGCAAGAGTTTAGAGAAACACTGTTGGTAGGTCATAAAACAAGCCTCAGTAAATTTAAAAGGATTGAAATCGTACAAAGTATATTCTCTGACAATAATGGAGTAAAATTAGGAAACAAGGACAGAAATCAATTTAGGGAATGCACAGATAGGTGGAAATTAAGTGACACACTCCTGAGCAACCAGTGGTCAAAAAAGAAATCACAGGAAAATCAGAACATTTGGAAAAGAAGATACAACATAGCAAAACTTATGGGAGGCAGTGAAAGCCGTTTTAGAGGGAAATGTAATGCCTATAATAGAAGAGATGAAAGATCTCATATCCATAGCCTAATCTTCTACCTTAAGACGCTGCTAAAAAAAAAAAAAAAAAACTCACCCAAAGCAAGCAGGAAAATAAAATAGCAAAGATTAGAGCAGAAATCAATAAAATAGAGAATATAAAAATAATAGGAGATAAAACAACAAAACCAAAAGTTTTGGTTTTGATAAATCTTTGGTCGGACTGACCAAATACTATAATAGAAGAAGGAGATTGAACTATTCATGAAGTTTAAAAAAATAACTGCTAGCGTTCAGACATTCAATTCAATGTAATATAAACTTTTAACAAAATAGGAAGCAGTCTGTTTTGAACTTAGAATGAAATAAATATCACCAAGGAAAGTTTGCTGGTATCTCAGAGTGGCTACCAAAGTCCCAAGTCTAATTCTGAGCTGAATTCAGAAACCCTAGTTTATAAGTGTACCTAGGATTGATCAGCCAATCAGGAAATGACTTTTGCTAACCAGATTTCATTGACCTGCACAAAAAAAGTATAAGCCCTAATGCCAGTAAATTTAACCAAGGAATGTACCATTCCAGCCATTTCCTCGAGCCCTCATTTCTACTATCAAGGATACTTCCTCTCTAGAATCATGGTAACTATGAAGTCACATTAGTAATCAGGACAATTGATCAGAGACCACTGGGTGGTGTTGACAGTCATCCTCTACTCTGGAAAAGCCTGGTGCCTCTGATTCTTTCTCTCCAGGGGTGACAGTGGGATGTCTAACGGCATGTCTCTCCCTGGCTCCTCCTGGAAAAAAACTGAAAAATTCTTAGCCATGCTCCTGTATTTTTTTAATGTATTTTTATTGATTTCAGAGAGGAAGAGGGAGATAGAAGCATCAATGATGAGAGAGAATCATTGATCAGCTGCCTCCTGCACACGCCACACTGGGGATCGAGCCCGCAACCTGGGTAAATGCCCTGACCGGAATCAAACCGTGATCTCCTGGTTCATAGGTCGATGCTCAACCACTGAGCCACGCTCCTGTATTTCTAAGTTCAATGCAGAATAATATTTCTTCATACTACAGATTAGATTATGTCCTCTTTAGAATCTTTTTAATCCCAAAGACATACCAAGATGAACTTGACTTGATTTCAGTAAAGCCCTCTTCTTTATGCCTTGACTTTTTTATGAAGCAGCCACTTTGTATTAACTACCATCATAAACTGTCCTTTAAGGTAGGAGACTTCTGCAGATAGCTGCTCTCACTCTCATAATAGGTCTGACTCTCCAGGGAATCTTTCTCTCTGGCCCCCTGTGGTGCTGACTAAACCTGTGAACAGATCCTTAGAAGTGTTTAGGCAAAAGCAAGATGACAGGGATTTTTTTCTTTAGTTGAGGATTTTAGTTTGGGTAAAAGAAGAGATGAGATCTTATCTAATATTGAGTCTGCAATCCAGTTTTTCTATTACTTTATGGATTTACGTGGAAGAAAATTAGTGTTCCTATGCCATAATTATTTTAATTTAGTTTGAATTTACAGATTTACATATGTATAGAATAAGTTTTTCTTGCCCAGCTGGTGTGGCTCAGTGGTTGAGTGTCAGCCCATGAACCAGGAGGTCAAGGTTCCATTCCGGTCAGGGTACAAGCCTGGGTTGTGGGCTCGATCTCCAATAGGAGGCGTACAGGAGGCAGCCGACCATGTTTCTCTCTCATTGATGTTTCTATCTCTCTATCCTTCTCCCTTCCTCTCTCTAAAATCAATAAAAATATTTAAGTTTTTCTTTCCATTTTGATTTAGCTGAGTTATGCCACTAAAAGCTATCACTGAGTTGCATGACATCCCTCCCACTCGATCCATGTTTTAAGGACGATTTGAGTTGCTAAGACAGAAGGTAAAGATTTATGACCTGTTCACTTTAGGAATTACATTTTTACATAAAAAAAAGAATGTAATATTTCTAAACATTGTCAGTAAAATTGCTGCTTTGAGGTTTTTGTTTGTCAGTTTCCAGATTAACTCACGGACATAGCATAGAAAGGACAATACTCTCCGCTTGACCACTGTGGCCTATTGTTTGTGACTCTTGCATACCTTGTGAAATTATGCAAAAGCATTTTTTCATACTTTTTTGCAACACTCATATTTTTCAATATGAATTCGCAAAAGATGAGGAGCACTACTCTGGCTTATTATTTAGATTTTGTCTTTGATGTTCTCTCGTCTCCATATTCTAAGATGGCTACAAATGATGAGTGTTCTCCAACGTGGGTTTCTGCTGGACCTGAGTGTGTTTTTAGAAAGGGCCCCAAGTTTAATGTTGAACATGCTCTCTGTGTGCAGCATTCTCAGAGCCTTGAATGGACTCGTGAGGTATGAGCATCCCAGGGAAGGCTGTGGTTTGCATTGTTCCTCAGTCCAGCTTGACTTGGAGCCCTTTTCTGCAGAAAGCATCACACGAGGCTAGTGTTGTGCAAAACAACCTAGAAAAGGCTGATGTCCCCGCTCTGCGGTCTCTCGTTTCAAGTCTCTGACGAGGGCCAATTCGCTTTCATGACAACCGTGTTTGCCATGAATAAGCACCACAAAGAGTAGTTACTATTTCACCACATAAACTCTATCTTACTATATTTTTAAATATGTTTTTATTGATTTCGGAGAGGGGGAGAGAGATAGAAACATCAATGATGAGAGGATCACTGATCAGCTGCCTCCTACACGCCCCACACTGGGGATCGAGCCTGACTGGGAATCAAACCGTGACCTCTGGGTTCATAGGTCAGTGCATAATCACTGAGACACACTGGCTGGCCTCTATTTTATTCTTTATTGCTCTTCATTTTTGTCAAGACTAAAAAATATACTTTGGTTATAAGGATATGTTTAGAGAATTGAATGATAACTAAAGCTATGAGGCGAAAGGGAGAAGACTGAATAAAATTCAAACTGAACTTTGAGTTTTAGTTTGCTATCTTTTACCTATGGCAACATATCTTCTGTGTCCCATCCACCTGTCGTAATTTACTCAGGTGTGTATCCTACCAATGCTGTCGATGTTTTCAAATGAATCTCTTAACTTCTTTGTTGCATCTTAAAAATAAGATCTTGGAAGCAGGGGTGGAGGTTTATATATCACAACTGTGCCTTCTATTCTACTTAGTGGAGGGCTTTTAGTGGTCTTTTTTGTTGTTTTGTTTTGCTTTGCTTTTCCTTCTAATCACTGAGAAACATGACCTTGTAGTTCCTCAGAATTTTTTTTTGAAATTAAAATTTTTTTTTAATTTATTGATATTAGAGAGAGTTATTTATGCATTCACTGCTTGATTCTTCTATGTGCCTTGACTGGGGATCGAACCTGCAACCTTAGTGTATCCAGACAACGCTCTGACCAACTGAGCTACCCAGCCAGGGTGTTCCTCAGAAATTTTTAGTGCTCAATACCTTGATTTAAATATTACCCAAATCTAAAATTTAAATATGTTTTTATTGATTTCGGAGAGGGGGAGAGAGATAGAAACATCAAGTAGCTAACTGCATATTTATACAGTGTCCCTTCATTAGACTGTTAGAAAAAGATGTGCCTACAAATATGAGCATTTCTGACTCGCTAGTAACGTAGCACTCTACAGAATCATACACACGTACATTTCCTCCCAACGCCATTATCTAATTTTATTTTCTTTATACATTGTATGAAATTATTTTCACTTACAACCTTCTTATCTGTCTCAACTCCATCTGCTGTACTAATCTCAGATTAGTACCATAACCAAGGGCTTTCTGTCATTCCTTTGTATATCATCAGCAACTTATAAAGTACTTGAAAATGCACACTGTAAATTTGGGAGAAGAAAAAAATTTATCAAATCACTTAATTCAAGTAAATATTTACCAGTATAATTTTTTAAAGTTAATAGGAGTTGTATACTGGATTAACAAATGTAGAAAAATTAATTCAGTCCCAATCCCACAACAAAATTGTGAGTCTAAAGATTTTTTTAAGGGTAGCTATTATCAAGTAATACGCACGGCAAACACAGGCACAGATGCGTTTCTGTAGGCACATCTTGCTCAGGACAGTCCGTCTGGCTGCCAGTACTCTGTGTGCATGGCTTTGTCGTGATGGTCGGCTGTGAAACTTAAGACTCTGATGGCATTTGTGGAATATAATGAACAATATAAACTGATGAGCAAAAATAGATCCAGAGACATAGAAGCATCGACCAGACTGTCAAACCTCAGAGGAAAGGCAGGGGAGGGTGGGAGAAGGGGGAGGGTAAGAGATCAACCAAAGGACTTGTATACATGCATATAAGCATAACCAATGGACACAGACAGTAGGAGGACAAGAGCATGTGCTGAGGGGTGGGAGCGGCCGGGGAGAGGTCAATGGGAGGAAAAGGAGACATATTTAATACTTTAATCAATAAAAAATTTAAATTAAAAAAAAGACTCTGACAGGAAAAATTAAATTCATTGGGGGAAAAAAACGCTTTATGAGAAATGACAATATACAAATAAATCTCAACCATTCCAGCCAGGAGAATGAATAATTTCAAATCAGCGATCTGTGTGTTTCCATAGTGCCTGCAGCATTAGAGAGCTTTTTATTAAAGAGGTGGCTTACTCATAACGGGGCACGCAGCCCCAGGTACATAAAAGCAAGCCGCCCTCAGTTCCTTTTCCAGTGCAGCAGTCACGGTTTTCCGGGACCAAACTGGGCAATGGGGATTACGCTATTGAGCACCTGTGCTTCTATTTGCACTTGGGGATTTTGTTCTTACATTATGCAACCTCCCACGTGCTGCAGCCTCTCCCCCTGCTTTCCCGTCTGACGGTTCCCATATCAACACCCATTGGCCCATGAGGGGAAGGAGAGTTCTTGAAATTATCCGTGGGATTTAAAGCAGCAGTTGCCAACCTTTTGGACCTCACGGACCACCGATTGGCGACCGCTGATTTAAAGGACTCTCATAACCAATGGATGAGAAGGGATGTGGTATTACTTTATAGGTTGCCCATTTCTCTATTGGGGGCTGTGAGGTACAAGACAAAAGGCACCATAAGATCATGACCCGCAAGGAGCTAACTTACTATTGATGAAATAAGGCAGTAAATAAAAATCTGTCATGGATAGTTGGGATTCTTTGTTGGTTTTGTTTTCTCTTTGTATTGAGGTAGAGAGTTTATATACAGGTAAATACTCGTTATCTGAAGTGTACAAGTGAGTGAGTTTGGACTAGTACCTACACCCATGTAAATTTAAACCCTGTCGAGATACAGAGCGTTTCCATCACCCTAAAAAGCTCCTCATGCCCCTTCCCAGATGTGTCCCACCCCCACCAGAGGCAGCCACTGTTCTCATCTCCTTTACCATACATTCGTTTTGCTGTTTCTTGACCTTCATTAAAAAAGAAATCATACAGTTTTATGTAAGATTTTTACTTTGTTTTGAAGTGAACTTGTTAGTCTTTTTATAACTATTTTTATAATATCTGTAGCAGTTTTATAAGGAAAGCAGCTTTTTTTTATATACTTCCAATTTAAAACCATCTGTATAATCTCTCATATTGGCTGAATTCATTAGACCTAGATTAGTGGGTTATAGTCATTCGATTAATTATCACAAGGTTAATAAGTAACACCAACCTCTTGCCAAACATAGCTTCAACTGTAAGTTTAAAGAAACAGAGTGTTCTATACTGCTATTTTAACCAGTTTATTTCTTATAACAAGCATCCATGGTCTAAAAATTACAAGTCAGCTGTCCTTAAATTATTCAAGCTTTCCAGTTATTAAATGAAAGATTTGCGCTTTTAATAGAGAGATGTAGAGAGTAGCTCGACTTCATAAGGAGAACCTACAGACTAAGGATAGATGTAACTTGATTGTGTTGGTATTTGGACGTATTGACCAACCTTCTTTCCTGTCTTTCTTGCGGAACAAAGAGTAATGATGGATCCAGGGTTTTACATTAGCAAAAGCGCTCACGCCAGTGCTCCTCCTATCCTCAAGTATCCTGCTTTAAAAGAAGAACCTTGTGCCCTTTATATCAATGTTAATTTTTAAATTTCATTCTTGATTCTACTTATATTCTATTTCTCCTACAACTGTGGAAAGAAGTTCAGAAGAAACAGCGATCGCTTTTCACTATAGGAATTGAAAAGGTTTTATAATGGAATGAAAACTTAAGCAAAATCTTGAAATACACATAGATAAAAAGAAAAAGGAAGGAGAAAATCAGAAACATAGAGAGAGAACATAACATCACACAGGAGCGGAAGAAATGAATAAACTAGAATATGGCGATAGGGAAACTTGGAAGTCAGGTAAAAGAATCATAGAATCTGAAGAAAGGGGACCTTGGGAATCCCTAGATTTCCTATTGCAGCACAAACCCCCTCTACCACACCCACAGCAGATAGCCACTGAGCTTCCGCTTGAATCCTGCGTGGGGCACGTGCTGCCTTCTCACAGGGCCCATTCTTCTTATGGATAGTCATAATGAGGAGACAGTTATTTGTGCTCTAGGCAAGCAGGCACTGTCCCTTTTTGAACATATATATTTAATGGCATACTGTCATTATACTCTAGGGAATTTAATCTGTGCATTAGGAAAGGGGCAGAATGAGTTGTTTCATTTAGGGGTTACCTGTTTCGTTTACAGCTTCATTGAGATATAATTCATACAGCATCCTATGCACCATTTTAAATCACACAATCCAACAGTTATTAGTATATTCACAGAGTTGGGTCTCCATTACCACAAACGTTTTTATTACCCCCAAAAGAAAACCCACACTCCTTAGCCGCCATCCCTCCGAACCTCTCATCTCCCCCAGCCCTATGTAACTACTGATCTACATCCCGTTTCTATCCATTTGCTGCTTCTGGACATTTCATATAAATGGAATCACATATGTGGTACTATGTGACTGGCTTATATAACATGTTTTTAAGGTTCATCCATGTTATAGCATGTATCAGTAGTTCACTTTCTATTGCCAATTTATATTCCATTGTGTGAATATATCACATTTTATTTGTCCAGTCCAGTGTCAGTTGGGTGACATTGGGTTGTCTCTACTTTTTTGGCTGTTATGATAAATGCTGCTGTGAATATTCAGGCACAAGTTTTTATGTGATTATATTGTCAGTTCCCATGATATATACCCCTAAGAGAGAAATTTCTGGGTCATACGGTAACTCTCTGTTTATCTGGCTGAGGAACTGCCAGACTGTTTTCCAAAGTGACCGCATCACTTTATATTCCCGCCAGTGGTGGTGAGGGCTCCAGTGTCCCCACACCCTGACCAGCACTTGTTACTGTCCGTCCTCTTTATTGTCATCATCCCAATGGGCATGAAGTGGCATCTCACTGTGGTTCCGATTGACATTTCCTGGTGGCTGGTGGTATCAGGCATGTGTTCATGAGCTTATTGGCTATGTATGTCTTCTCTGGAGAAATGTGTATTCACAATTAAAAACCCATTTTTCATTGTTTGGTTTTTTTTGTCCTTTTATTATTGAGTTCTGTATTCTAAATACAATATACACTTTATTCTTTATATGTTTTAAATACGAGTCCCTTATCCAGTATATGGTTTGTACACATTTCCTCCTAGGTGGGGTATCTTTTCATTTTCTTTATAGTGTCTGGGTTACATGGTTTCAGTCTTTTAATCATTATGGGGTGTCTTTTTTTGTTTTTTGGTTTTTTTCCCGTTAAGTTGTAAAATCATGGAGTTTAAATTGTAAAATTCCACAAACCTGGACACTGCTCCTGCTTCTGCACCTCTGCTGCGTCCCGTAGAGTGGCCGTCTGTTAAAGGCTGCGTCTCCACAGGCAGCCACCTCTGCCCCTCAACGTTTTCCTCGCAGATCATTCGGCTTCATGCTTCACGAGATGATAAAATTGTTGGTTGGTTTTCCCACAGGTCAATCGGTTCAGTAAGGTGGAAGACCGCGCCATTTTTGTCACTGATCGCCACCTGTATAAGATGGACCCCACGAAGCAGTACAAGGTGATGAAGACCATCCCTCTGTACAACGTGAGTGTCCTCCGCTTCTCTCCGAGCAAAGGAGTACCAGCCTGGGGTTCGGGAGCCACTTGTGGGCTGACAGTCTGGTCACTGAAACCTTCGGGGCTTTAGGAAGCCTGTGAACCCTCGAAGGTTACGCCCATCTTACGTTTTATACAGATGTACAGTTTTCTCTCAGGGGGATCCAAGGCTTCCGGTAGATTAACGAAAGCATTTTTTTTTTTTAAGCATAAAGACTGCATTCTGTGTGATCTTTCTCTGGTCCTCATTCTACTCACGGCTTCACTGTTGTGATACACAATATGTTTTCTCATTTATTTTCATATGGCTTGTTCTTTCTCTATGCCTCATCCTGCTCATTGCTTCGATGTGGTGACACCTAATATATTTTCTTATTTATTTTCATAAGGCGTGTTTTTCCATTTGGAAATGGAATCTGGTAGAGGAACGGTAGAGAATTACTTTATGAAAGCATTACCTCTCTTTCAAATGTAAAATGTATGCTGCTCCCAGAAGTTCTTTCCACCAATATATTTTACCTCTGATCTAAACCCACTCGGTGGCTCACTGTCTCCACGGGCTTTCCAGTTTCTGGAATCGGCTCCTTATTTGAAATGAGAAATTTGGTAGGTGTCTCTTTGAATTTCAATACGAGATTTCTTTTTCATTTTTTCCCCCTGCTGTCTGAGGCCTGCTTAACAAGTGACTGTTCTAATTCTTCAGAAAGAGCCTACCAGACCCCAGATCTCTTCATGTGAAAGGTGATTTTCTCTGTCTGTTAGTTCTTAATGAGGGAGGTCTGTGCCGGTCCCATGGTAGACTGAATGAGGAATATTATTAAAGAGTCTTTTAAATCCTTTTGGTCTCTGCATAAGGGAGTAGGAAGGACGTTGTTTTGTAGCTGTATTTTGTTAAATCAGGAGTCTCATTGGTTGTGGGGTACAGAGAAAGCAAATCATTCCTGATTTTGTTAAGTGATGTAGAACATCACTGCGGACGATTGCCGAAATTATTGCCCAGGTTAAGATTTGTCTGCATTATGCACCTCTCTCTCTCTCTCTCTCTCTCTCTCTCTCTCTCACACACACACACACACACACACACACACACACCTTTCTCCCTTCCAGGAGAAGGCTAATGGATTGCAGCTAAGAAAATGCTCTTCTAAGACATTCTTGATGGCATATATTCTTAGCAAAGACTTGTAATCTTATATACCAGTCACAGTTGAAGCCTAATAACCCTGCCGTCTTAAAGTAGGAGGTGAAGGGCAATAAGGGGGTTGGATCAGATTTTGCCTAAGTCTAATGAAGTGTGGCACTAAGCTAACATAAATTGCAGTATGCATTTTATTTCTTTTTCTTATTTTCTATTAAGTGGAGATCACTCTGGCACAGAATATAAATTCAGTAGCTAAACAACTCTTTGACCTAAAGTTATTTTCCCAACCTACCTTCCTTTTTTATGTCGACTGGTGTATATTTATATTCACGGTTCCCCTTTTCACATTATCACAATTCATGTTCCCAGTGTCATTGAAATGAATGATGTTTAACAATTGTGGCAAAGGTTGAACAGTGTCAGCAGGATGGATGCACACGGTCGCAGGTGCTCTCAGTACTCGGCCCATATCCCCTTGTACCCCCTTATTTTCGGGCACACCAGCCTAACTTCCAGCAGCCAACGTCTTTGTCAAAGGCTATGCTGCCAGACCCACTTTGCCCTATGCACAGAGGACTGGAAATGCCATCCAGTGACTCACAGATGTCGGGGGATAAATACTCCAACACCATCACCATTGACCGAGGCCGTTCTGAGGTGTGTTTTCTACCGTTTCCTAGACCTGCCCTGCAGGAGTAAGCGGCAGCTGCCCACAGTGGAAGCTGATGGGCCATCCTGGCCACCTCCCCTTGCCTGAGCCCCTCTCCACCCCCTTGCCAGTGTCCCTGCACCTCCCAAGTCAGCTCTATGTGCTCATCAGCCTTTGTCCCAGGGTGTGCTCTGGGAGGAGCTAACTTCAGGGTAGTGGCTAGGAGGGAGCAAGTTGAATGGGATAGGGGACTGCCACCTGGGTTGGTAAAAATGTTTTAAAGTCCAAAGCACATGTGGCAACATATTAAGTCCGGATAATAGGGACATGGGTATACATTATTTTATTCTTTACACCTTTGGTATGATTGAAATATTTTGAAATTAAAAACACGGTTTAAGACAAGGAACCCTTAGAAATGATAATGCTGATCATAGTGATGAAGCCGCTGAGAGGAGGTGAAGGAGAACGATTTTCATGTTACCCATGCTGCGTTTCAGGTGTCGTGAAACTCACAGGTATGCATTTCATAGGTAGTCGAAGGTCTCATGTTGTAGGGAGGGGAAGAGTTTAGCACTTAGGATAAAAATTTAAAGCAGATGTATGTACAGCTGGAGGCTGAAATTATGAGTCTAGAACAGTGGTTCACAACCTGTGGGTCGCCAACCTGTGGGTCACGACCCCTCTGGGGGTTGAATGACCCTTTCACAGGGGTTGCTTAAGACCATCGGAAAACATATATAATTACATATTGTTTTTGTGATTAATCACTATGCTTTAATTATGTTCAATTTGTAGCAATGAAAATACATCCTGCATATAAGATATACATTACGACTCAAAACAATAGCAAAATTACAGTTATGAAGTAGCAACGAAAATAATTTTATGGTTGGGGGTCACCACAACATGAGGAACTATATTGAAGGGTTGCAGCATTAGGAAGGTTGAGAACCACTGGTCTAGAGGGTGGAAGGGGGCAGATTATTCAAGAACATCCATCCATTACATGGCAGGAAAGAGAGAATTGCTGATGGGAATGAAATAAAAAGGAAATCTCTTCTCTATGGCCCTCCATTTTCTCAACGCTTTTTAAAAAATATATTTTTATTGATTTCAGAGGGAAAGGGAGAGGGACAGAGAGAGATTATCATTGATTGGCTGCCTCCTGCACGCCCCACACGGGATCGAGCCTGCAACCCGGGCACGTGTCCTGAATGGGAATTGAACCGTGATCTCCTGGTTCATAGGTCGACGCTCAACCACTGAGCCCCGCCGGCCAGGCTCAACTCTCTTTTAATGTGCTAAACAAGCTCTCATGTTTCTTCAGTTCCATCTGGTTATGGATTATTCTAGGAAAGAAAAGAACTGTGAGAGCACCATGTTTCAGAAGCAGATTGGGAAGTTTTCAGAAATAAGAGCAATCGATAAAAGCACAGAGCTAAGTGTGCCCCGCTCCGCTCCTCTCGTGCTCTGCTTTTCCTTGGCTCCCAGGAACAGGTGATGACCATAGACTGTCATAAGGAACACTCCGCTGTGGTTCCAGTAAGGTTACAGGGGGCAGTAAGGGGGAGGAGCCTGAGGGAGACCCAGGACACACCACCACCCAGGCTTCAGAGCAGTTCCCAGGGACTGTGTTACCCTGCAGCCCTCAGCAGCATGAAGGCTTAGGTAGTCAAAGTTTCGGCCATTCTCTCCGTCTCTGCCTCTCTCTCTGTGTGTGTGTCTTTTTACCATCAGTTACTTTTCTTTGCAGCATGGCCAGCACCAGGCTCAGGTCTAAATCAGCCAGCCCAGCACCCCATTAGAGTTCGTCCTACACTAACATATTGAACACAGTGTCTCAGATCAGGCCTCACCATAGCAACCAATTCTGCATGAGCCAAATTGGTATTTTAGTTCCTTGTCAAGTACTTGCAATTCTATGCATAGCCTTCCCTGACTTTTCCTAGTATACCATATATAGCATGGGCAATTAGTACAGTTCCTTTTGAGTACAATTGATCTCTTCCCTCTGCAGTTTTTGACTGTTGTCCTTAGTCCCAAGTCCCTTTTGGACCTGGGTCACAAATCATGCTGAGTCCTGGGGTGGGTCATTAGGTTTTCCAAGTGGGGAAAGGATCCGTGGGAGGGAAGAGCTTCAAATAGGCCAAGTTCATCAGGCATCCTGGGGTCCTTGGAGTCTGCCCACCTACCCCCCTTCCAATTGCCAGAAGCCCAGTCTCTCTCAGGCAGGACTTAAAATGTGCCATATGTGTAGTAACTTAAGGTAGATGTATGTGCGTGCAACTATCATCGTTGTGGCCGTTCCTGCATCCAGTATGCCAGATCTTTGACTCACCTAGAAAAAGCTGAAGTCTGTATTTCCTGTAAAATCCCCTGATTATTAAAAGGCATGCAAGCCAAACAAAGTGTGTCTGGGGAGACACTCAGCCCACAGGCCGCCATTTGCTAATCCTATGTTAAAAGGTCTCTGCTTGTCATTTGTTATTCTACAGGAGCAGTAACCATACAGCAGTGGTTCTCAACCTGTGGGTGGCGACCCCTTTGGTGGTCGAACGACCCTTTCACAGGGGTCACCTAAGACCATCCTGCAGATCAGATATTTACATTATGATTCATAACAGTAGCAACATTACAGTTATGAAGTAGCAACAAAAATAATTTTATGGTTGGGTCACAACATGAGGAACTGTATTTAAAGGGCCAGAAGGTTGAGAACCACTAGCATACTCCTTGCTCTCCTCCATACCAAACGTTAAAAATTCTAAAATCGATGATGTGTTTTATTCTAGACCTTGTGTAGTAGAAACAGACATGACCCATTCCTCACTTATAAAAAACCAACAGGGTGTTGGCTTTAGAAAAATGGTTTCTACTTCAGTGAGAAAGCGAAGGAATGAAGGGACTCTTTGATAGAGGTGTCTTTCCTGCCTGGGGAACTTTCTACCCCCTCGGAGTTCACTGCTACGCCTGTCCCTGCAGCTTATAAGTGTTGGGGGGTTTTTTTGCCATATTTTTTTTCTCTCTTTCATGACACTTTGCCTCTAAAATGGCCCTGTGTGCATTCTCCTAAGAATAGGGCATTCTCCTTCATTGCCACGGTACTCTTTTCATATCTAAAAAATGAATGTTTCCATAATATTTAATACCCAACACAACTCACATTTCCTCAATCGTTCAAAGAATGTCTTTTGTT